TGACCCATATAACAATATGCTGCGCACCGCAGTATGTAAACTCCACTTATACGGATTTCACATTAATTATGGTTGTGTGGTAGCGAAGCATCAGTGCTGAGCACCGATTTTATGCCGTGGATCATGATGATGATGGTGAAACCTCACCATTGGCAGGTAGGATGATGTTACATCAGCGCCACGGGTGATGCAGGTTCACAAATGCTGCGATCACTTTCCCAATCCATATGGAAATATCGTTTTTGGCTAGACCACAGGAACTGGTACAACTGCCCAAATAGACCAAGTTTTATGCTACCTCAATCGGCTGATCCGCAAGCACGATGTCCGAGTTCGAGCCAACCCAGTCATGCAGCAGCACTCCACACTTTGTAGATGTCAAGCACATGCCAAACATCGGTACAGAATTATTGAGATTAGTTAATATCACCTGCACTACGATAGTGTCAGATCCAGGAAGTGCTATATCGTCTGCGTACTCGATGTCTGTGAGCGAAGGCGACTACACATGCATTAGAGGCTGGGAGTGACTCTTGCATGATCATATCGCTTACGAAGTTGAAGACGAAAGGTAGAGGAGTACGTCTTTTTCTGACACTACTTGATGTGGTGAACTCAGGCGAAAGCTTCACACGTCCGCAGAAGTTAGCGTACAGTGCCTTAAGGAGGGTCAATAATTTGTGGGGATACATTTGCCCCATATACAATGCCTTATTGCCTGACGGTCCACAGCGTCAAAGGCAGTCTTCGAGTCAAGGAACAACTATTGTTGGCTGCTAGACGCGGTGTCGCTATTCCAGGATTTCTCGGAAGATGAAGATTTGATCGATGGATCCTCTTGCAGGGCGGAACCCAGCTTGGTTCTTACCGATCTGTCTCTCCGTGTGTTCAGTAAGCCTTCGAGGAATAAGACCAGAGAGCACCTTCGATGCCACAGCTACCAGGCTGGCGCCACGGTAGTTTTCACACAGCTCCCCGTACTCTTTTTGAAGATGGGAATAAATGTCGACGCGCCCCATTCCACAGGAGCTTTTTCTTCGTTCCAGGTCGCACCAATAAGCTTTGTCAGATGAGTCATCGGAGGTTCTCTGCCTTCTTTGTGGGGAGTTGGATTCAGACCGCCCGGTCCTGGTGCTTTTCCAGGTTTTAGCACGGATATCTGGTACTTTATTTCTCATTCTGACGGGTGATTAAGGTTTACATTCCGACATGCTCGGCTGCAGCTGGTTGCCATAACCCGAGGGCGCAGGAAATAGAGCATTACTGTCTCACTCCTAATGTGGCTGTGCGCAGCAGGTGCCTTTTGAGCAGCGCCGGACCGTTTGGTTTTAAAAGCATTTCGGTCGTATTGAATAGTGCGTCGGCAGTCGCGGCCATCCGTTGGGTGATCGGAGGGTGCGGTAATTGGGGTCGACTTTTTCTAACCCGTCCCTTCTCGGGGGAAGGCGGAATCGCTGCTTCCATGAATACGGACATGGTGGCCGCCTGTGGGAAACACCTTACTGCCTTCACATTACTTTCACAGAGGACCCCCAGACCGCCTCGTAGGAAGATTATTCGCGGTATGGGGTCTCGCTGCTCTTGGTTTAACTGTTACCCTCTGACTTTCCTGGCATGGTTGCACCCTGTGGAACGGAGTTCCAACTAGTGTAGCCCGCGGGATCTTTGCCGCACTCAAGCCCGATCACCACATCAAGGTGGCAGCTCTAGGTCAGGAGTTGCATGCTCAACGACGCCCATGTATTCAAGCTGCTACCCTTCATGTATAGCTCTCTGTTGTAACTGTGTTTGCTGGGTGATTTTGTAAATTGTTGGATCCTATTCTGTCGCGTATGATAGTCTTACTACTGAAGTGTAAAAATCCCAAGGAAGAAGACAGGGTACCGTGCGAAAATCGGCTCTATTGCGGACGAACTAATGGAGGGAAGAGTGCTGTGGCTCAGTTTGCTATAACGAAGAGGAAATGAAATCTCAGCGAAATATTACAAAAGGTCGAATTGTTCGTTAGAATCTGACCGTCCTAATGCTCCCTTCCCAATCTCTTCAATGTAAACCTAACTGTCACTCATGGATTCACGCATCAACTACATATTTTCCTACATCCACTTCTCTCTCCAGATCATCAATTAATGAAACTTTCTGGATGTGTTTGCACTACACAACACAATTTTTAGCTGAAGACGGTTATGATTCCTCCGTGCCATCCTTTCGAATAGGTGTTACCAGAGCAACCAATCCAACCGTCTCCTCAATAGGCAACGGTCTTGTTTTCTGGACGTGATCTCCATTATCGAAACCTCCGTCATAAGTCACCTCGTGAAACTATCGTCCTTGGCAGTGACGATCATATTACTCTCTGCCGAAACCTCATCTGCTACTGGCAGTTCTGTTTCCATAAGGATGTTCTCATGTTTCGCATCTCATTGCGGCGATATGAAAGAACGGCTTCCTCGGTTCCATAAATTGGACATCTTTGCCTGCGGTCTCACCAAACTAACAGGGAGCCTTAATATCATGGAGTATATCCACAGTCCGCATCCATTCTGTCCGCATTTTTGCTACATCTATGTGCCAGTGGCCCAGGTATACCGATGCAATTGGACGCTTCTTAAACCGTGAGCACTAAGCCTGGGTTACTAAACTGTGAATGCGATACACACTTAACTACGACTACTAGCTGACTCTACGGAAGCATTAAATCACGCAAAGGAAAAATGAAGCCGGAATCTTCTCGGGAATGTGCAGCACATCCAAGCTCCTCTCCCGTTATGCGTGATCCCAGCAAAAATCAAAATCCTTACCACGTTTCTTATCTTGCAGCCAGGTGAGCTAACATTCTCCCTGGGCGAAGCAGCTGGACTACTAGCTCAGAAACACGCGATAGTGTGTAACCATAGAAACCCACCCAACACATTTGAAAGCCTCAGCCACACTCGTCGACCTTTGTAGACATCTGGCTTCTTGGCCGATGAAATTCAGTGGCTCCTTTCTCTTTACAATTAAGGCGGAGCTCTAGGCTCCGATGGAGCCTCAAAGCACATGCCTCTGCCGTCTCACTACTGTACCAAATCCTGTTTATCACATGCCCGTCAGACATCTTCCAGTCGGCTCAGAAATAAGTGATCAATCATTCCAACTGCAAACAAGGACGTCGCCATGAATCTTCCATTTATCGTCAGATCGGCATACCAGCGTACCTTGTGGGCTGATGGGTTAAATCATCATGGTCCACTCGAATGCCTTCCAACGTTCCGGCCAACATCCCATTCCACTCTTACCTGACTAGTTCATCCCTCTTTTAATCTAAGTACACTACTGTCGCTAAATCCAAAAACGGGCATCCACCATTTTCCTCGACTCCTCCCTTGGCTTCTGACAAAATCCGACACTATGCACTTATTCAGGGTTGAGTATTGGTGTTCCCCCTATCTGTCGATAGTTATCAACCCTCCTCACTAGTAGAGTCCATAAGTCTTAGCCTGCAGCTCCCTTGCACATTAATTCGTTTGCAATGGAGTTTCCTAGGGTTCTGCTCTGGACTCCTTTGTCTTCATTTTCACCCCTACCTTCCATTTAACCTTCTAATTGCGCAGTGCTGCTGTATGTTGATGATGAAAAATGGTGTAACGACCCAACTATTTACAGACTATCATCCGTGCCCGTCCACTTTGGACACACTAAGACTCCGTCTCGATCAACATCTAGAAGACGGTGTACATAGTTCTCTTCGAACCACATCACCCACTAATGCTCCTTGATAGTGCAGGCGCCCTGCTGATGCACCATCTTTGTACGGTACCACGGATCTCTCTCCTTTGCATATGTTTCTAATTCTCTACGAAAGCCGTCAAAATGACCAACCATTCCCGCTCACCCACCAATTCCATTTTCTTCGACTTCTATCGGAGGACTGCATTCAGGTATGCATTATCTGGCACATGCGTGATAAAAAAGCTGACGAATGTCCTGCACAGAGCTTACAAAACTGTTAGAACCCTTCATACCTTCCCTACCTTTGCATATGTTTCTAATTCTCTACGAAAGCCGTCAAAATGACCAACCATTCCCGCTCACCCACCAATTCCATTTTCTTCGACTTCTATCGGAGGACTGCATTCAGGTATGCATTATCTGGCACATGCGTGATAAAAAAGCTGACGAATGTCCTGCACAGAGCTTACAAAACTGTTAGAACCCTTCATCACCTTCCCTACTCAGTTCGACTGTGTTGCTGTTGTAACTAACTACAATCTCCGCTGCAGCACCTAAGTGTCGGAAAAAGACTCACCATAAAAGAACGCGACAGCTTTATGGCAAACAGATGAGTGCAAAAATTACGAGAGACATCGCGGTACCTGAAACGTGCTATTCGTTCGGCGTTGGGTCATTCGTTGGCGTTGCTTGTATGACGTGACAGAATACACATCGTCGGCCGTTCCCGATCATGTACCTGAGCGTCTAATCGGTAGCCTGCTTTTCCCAGCCCGGATGCCTGACGACTTCCCTATTTTTTAATTTTTGCGGAGTTTAATTGTCTCAGTAAGTTTCTGACATTATGGGATTAGTTTCATGCATCTGACCCTCCTGACAATTGCTTAACCCCCCTCATCAAGTAACGCCGACTCCGCCGTCGCCTCATCCATAATTATAGTCTTCAACGACAACGCCCGTTTTTTCCATTCCTCCCCATAATACCAGTCTATGTGATCACGAGCTCGGCGTCGTTCACAGACGTAACTTCTCTTGAGTTTTACTAAGATTTTGGCCCTGGCTTACTGAGTTGGTCTGCGGAAAATCGATCTATTCCTTGAAACAAAATATCGGTTGCCTTCTCCGTTAACTCTTTCTCGGTATATTATCACCTTCGCACGCTTTGGGGCAAAACATCTTGAAGGAGCGTTTCATTCGAGGCTATTTTGCACCCCAACTTACCATCCAGTTATGTAAATGAGTGGTTCATCCAATCTAGCTGATTGCTGTTTGCTATATTTTCCGCAGATATGCCTAAAAGGGTTCGTCTAGGTTCGTTACCAAGAACTCCGGGCGGTAGAAATATTCAGCGGGATGCCGTTATCCATGCGGAAGAAATTGAAGTGGATGATGTAGTTACAGTTAAACGTTCCATGTTTCGACAATGTGTGCCTGGAAACCCGTGGTTTGAGGGAGATGCAAATGATCCCGAGGAAGAGGAGGGAAGTACGATGTAAGCTTCGATTTTCCACTTAAATTCATATACAGGGTTAAATTTGTCGTACGCAAATCCACAGATCTGCGAAGGATACGATCAATTAAGGATCGGGTTGCCGCTCTTGTCTCCAGTCCAATGGTTGATGCTAGACCAAGACGCGAAAGTCCTGAAGACGTTTCCTCTGGGGCCAAATACGAGCGGAACACAGTCACTCCGCTCCGAGTAGCACATAAAGATGACCTTATGCATACCACCTCCCGCCGTTTGTCGCAGATGATTATGGACCACTTGAATCCTGTGGCTACACCCGAACCAATCCTCAGAAAATCTCACCTCACCCGCGTTCATCAGCTGCAGGATCCTTCTAGTCTTACAGCAACTCCCGCTTCCATGCCATTCTCTAATGCAGACAAGTGAGTTTATAGCGTGCTGGTTCCTCTTCATCCAACAAATGAATCTAACATGTCCTGCTTTGTTGGTTTCGTGAACTGCTGTTGCTGCATGTTCCACACCTTTTCTTGGTGGCGAACACTACTGCCGACGCGCCCAGCCTTTTTGGGTGCACTTTCTTCTGGTGTTATGAACTTTTCCTTTCCTGTGTTCTGTAGCAAAGAAAATGCACAACCAATTTCCGGAGGGTTGTCTCCCATACAGGACGTGACTGCTATGAAACTCGACCAGGCTCCTTTAACTTCAGATCACGGATCGCAAAATCCTGAAAGTTTTAATACAGTTAGTGCTTTTCGGGTGCTTTGTGATCTGGAGGTGGTGCGTCTAAAGGTGCTATGTGAAGACTGGAACGCGGTGCTGGGCGAGGAAGGTAGTTCACTTCCAAAACTTGGTGAGTTCTCACCTCATCGCGATCACCCCTTCTTGTCATTGTTAGATTTACGTGATTGCTGACTGAGAATCGCTCCACTGTGTTCGAGTGGTAAGGTTATGTTGTTACCTCATAGCCAATAGGGTTTTCAGTCCTTGATTCTGGTATGCTACTGTTGTGGCCTATGCGATGCTAGTGTGTTCAGTCACCTCGCTTCCGATCCACAACTGGGCGATTATATTCGAGGACGACATTACATCTGAGCACTTTGTCTTGTTTTTATTAACCGTAATTCTAGCAATTGGTTCAAGTTGAGGTTATCCCGTTTTGAACCGGAGTTCTGATAATTTAGTAAACTTTCCCTAACTTTTATCCTGTTATTACCTGGCGTCTACTCACTGCTTTCCAGGAGCGGAATCACTTGTCCTAATTTCTAACCAAATTTCAAATCAGTGACACGGCCTTGTTATGTTTGTACTATGAGCTGTCTACTGCTCTTGATCAGCTATCTAATCTGACCGTCCTTGAGATCTGGAATTCACAAACCGTCGTACGTCATTCTTATTCAAATGTCAATTCGATACGGTTACAGCATTGTCACGAAGCTCCCCTGTCCAAAAGCCGTTGTTGTCTCTCTAGCTGCTAATTTCCACTGCTAATTTAGCAGGATCCTCTTCGATGCATCACATGTTTTATAGAATGTTAGAATCAACTTTTAGTAGCTTTCACCAGTGCAAAGTGTCTCTTTCCAGTCCATTTTCTTATCTTAACAAAATAAAGAGTCACATTCTAGCTCCAACTCTTTCAGTTTCACTTATTTCTTTCGCTTTGAATCACGTGACTCAGCGATGGGTAGGGCTATGTACTGTGTAATTACAAGTTAATTGAACTGCTGATCAGCCCTTCGTGGCCAAACAGTGGAGGGTCACAGTCTCGAATCGCCCCAGAGACTCGTGAAGCTTACATTGCTGATGATTCCAAACAGGGATGAAGCAGATGTGAGATGCCTCCTGGCTGTTTGGTTTAGATTGACTCCATCTACTAGATGGAATCCCAGTGAAAAATTCGTAAATCTCATACTATCAACAGCTTATTTCTTGATCTCAACTGTGAAGTCCATTGAACAAAAGGTAGACTTTCTATTGGCTTCATTTCATGAACATAACTGGCATTACTACAGCTGTTTGTTCACTTTTTTCCCATATCAGCGGCTGACTCAATTCGTGCAACAGTTGGGAAATGCCAGTTGATTCTGAAAAACAAATTACCCTTTTTCCAAAGCTTGGTCGAGATGGCGGAGCGTAGTTCTGATGCAACAAGTCAAGGTGTCCCGAGAACCGACGTAAATGACCTGGCCGGGTACTGGACCTTGGTGGCTGATGAGATCGCGCTAGTAGACGCGGCTTTTGACCGTCTGCGTAAATGGCGCGATCGATGGAATTGGGATGCTTCACAATGTCCCACCACACCACCACGTTCTGTGGTAGTTGCCGTACAACGTAGCAAAAGGACGACTTCATCTACTCCGAAGCGATTAGCTACTCCTCAACAGACAAAAAAATCAACAAGGAACATGCCGGGACGGAAGATTACGGTGGATAAGCTCTCTTCAGAGATCAAGGAAGCAATCGTCGAATATGTCCAGAAGCCCGCTCAGGTATGAGGCTTATTTGTACATCGTTTCTTGTCTGGCACACCCCCTGTTGTGTAGAGTTTTCTCTACTATTATTTAAGCTGTCCATTTTTGACGACTGACCTTATAGTTTCTGTACGATGTGCCCTAAACTGGTATATGTGCTTCTGACGTTCATTTTTCTGTCCTCTGGTTATCATTTAGGGGCTTCCCTGTTTCCAAGTCTGTTGGTCGCTGTCAGTCACACCCATCGACAGAATCCTGGTCAGCACTTTCTGTCTACTTTCTAGAAGTTCTTCAGGGTATCCTCGCTGAGCTTTCATTAATTTTTAGCATTGTTTTTTGCTTTACGTAACATAGACACTGAGTTTACGACACCTTATTCATTGATTTCAGAAGCGTAAACCCCAGGCGAACTCCAAGTTCAGTGATTTTTTGAAGGCCAGGAAAGCGGGTGAGTGGCCCTTATCATGTTATTCGTTTTGTCGCTTTATCGGACGTTCGTAGTACGAATGTAAAATGTGTCTGGAATCAAGGTTCAGTAGCATGTCACGTGGACACAATGATACAATATCATTCCCGAGCCAGGACCTTGAACTTATTTCACCTGTGTGAGTGCCTAGTTTAGCGTAGTTCTGGGTTGGTTTCCCTGCTTGTGACGGCTTAGCCGCTTTGGTTTAATAATGATTGCTCTGCATTCCGGCTGCTCATCTTTCGAAGTTCAGTCTTTTTGCTCGATCTGGATTTTCCTTTGTTCTAGATTCAAATTATTGTGGTTACGCTAAGCCCATTCGGACAGACGTGATAGTCCCGTTTTCTGTTAACCCTTACTTAGGTCTTTAATCTCTTCGAACTGGTAGTGTACCATATTTGTTTTGCTATCAACGTAACCTGTTTTGGGCTTGTTTCAACTATCCTGTTCACAAATCATTCGAAGCACTTCTCAAAATCATGACTACAGCTTCATTTCTTTACGACACCTCTCAATCTTCTTTACATGGTTTACGTCAAAATTTATGAAGGTTAGACTGTCAAGGTTTTCGCGTGACTCTTCTATTTACTTTGCTTTATGACAACCTGCTCCTTTGAAGAGACAAACGGGTTATATTAGTTTTCGTGCTTGTTGTACCGTAGGATTTGGGTGCCGGCCCCCCTCAGACTGTCCAAAGTGTGATTTCCGGCATTTACTTGCCAAAATTTCATCCAGAGAACAGCGGGACGAGGTTTGAAGCTCTCACTTCTAGGCCAACGACCGCTCCTTCCGTCTTTACACCAACCGACCTTTGAAGATTTTTAACTTACATCTGATCGTCTGGCGACGAAATTAAAGTGGATTACACAGTTAAAACCAGTTGTCTCGTGCGTAATTTGTGGGTGGTTGAAAAGCAGTGTTAAGTCAACTCCCCTTAGTAGACTATTGCTTCGGTAATTTGCTTGGTGATCCGAGCCCTTGTATCCTCCGTTTGGTTGAGGACTCCGGCTTGAGTGTAGTGAACGGCTCTTTTGCAATCATTTCGTGCATATTTTAAAATGGGGCCTAGAGGCCCATCAGTTCCAAACATCAACCCCCGACCATTTCGAGGCTTTTGAACGGTTGTTCCCGGGCAACTATTTATAGTCGATTTCATTCGGTCGGTTGAAGCACTGGTTTCTCAGTCAATGTCCAAATTCCGTATGGTTTACTCATTCCTCGCAAGAAGTAGTTGGTGAAGGCCTGTAGAATCTGGGATTAACTGATAAAGTTTACAGCTTGATTATAGTTTTCTTCCTGCACGACTGTTTCTCAGTAATGCACGACCTAACCATATCGTGTTGTCGTCCTGTGGGACCCAGAAATATGTCCCCTGTAGATGTGGTATGCTAACTGAAGCAATCAGAATCGTACTCTGTTCTTGCTGATCAACTGGTTCCATGGCGTGATGTAAATTGAGGACCAGTCCCTGAGCTTCACTAAGATACTGTTGATTTTAACACCCGTCCTTCGCATGCGATATCTTTATTCGGTCCACCAGTAGCTTCTCTCGAAACCCATCTTCTTAGTTTTAAGTCTAAACGGGTGCAATGTATCTCTCGTAGGCACATTGGTGCTCTTTGGTTAGCGCTTCCACTGGGTGCACTGTTGCTTCCTGTTTCACTACTTATAATTCGGAAGTAGTGTAATTTGTTATCACCACCCGGTGTCAGCCTGAAACGGCCCCGAAAAACCACTTCTTCGTATGGTCTCTGTATGTCTCGTGGAGATATCCGTTTTACGCTATGAATTTTCGCCCTTATTGCCCATCTGACAGCTGAGGCTGCGATTACCTCATCCTTTTCGGGCCATACTGTTCTTTTGCTGTCGTAGTGTCTACTACACGTAGCAACGCAGTAATTTGTTTGTGTGGTTACTGTCGATAAATGCCAGAGTGAGCGCCTTATCAGAAGTATTGGTGGGCTAAGGACTACCGCTGCGAATCGGATGTTGCTTTCTGTAGGCTTACCTGGCTCATCCACGAGATCTATCAGTGTACGCCTTTTAGTAAGTTTTTTGTGTGTTGTCAATGAAAACTGAAGGTGTAACTGCTTTTTCTTGACTCGGAACGGAAACCCAATAACAGTTACCATATGCATGTCGCCCTTATTTTCAATGCGGACTGATGTCATTCGCAACTTCCTTCAGTGTCCTTTATCATTACAACCTCTGTTTAGTTCACATACCGATTTCCTTATTCTATAGCTATGTCATCCAACCATTCAAGTGCTGGTGGGTCTGTCACCATCTTTGCTCCGCCAACAGAAGCGAGCGGCCTCAAAATGTCGGAAGTGTCTCCGCTTGACCAAGGCAATATATCTCTAACCCCCGCACACAAAGGATGCCCCACTCCAGCTACCCCGAGACAAAACCAAAGGTTAGATACGAGTTCCCTGTAGTAACCCTTTTTGTGTCCTGTATACTTTTATGCGGGAAGCATGCAAGTGGCCAGCGATTTCTGAAAACTCCGTGATAGCCCTCTACTGGTTTCGTCATTCTTGGGACTCTTCAAGCAAACACAGTCCCGGGGTTTCCGTCTCCCTGAAATGCCAAATTGAATATGTTTCGTGGAGCTATCGAGTGCTTTTGAGGACTACCTCTTGTCAACCTATTTCCTATCAGATTTTCTAGATTGTATGCAACCACTCACATGGACAAAGTTTCAGTTTTACAAATTTTATCCATTATATTATGGTCATCCACAATGAAGGACAATCCCGTCATGCGGTACATGCCTTTATTTCGACCAAATAAGAACATGCAACTAATACTAACCTGTTTTATTAATCATATTCCGTTTTTCCGATGATTGCTTAATGTGCGTTATCCATAATTCCCATGTCCCCCTGACTCCAGAGCACCCACGGAGCCTACGACACGCAGCGTGGACCTGTCCGGACCCAATATCCGTTGACCGAACATTAGTATGCTCGTGTGAGATGACTGTCACGCCTTTGGGGTGGCTAATCTATGGCAGTTGTTGCTTCGGAAAAAAGATGGGTTAATGGGAGGCCTTAAACTATAGCTACATACTTTAGTAAAGCAGACGGGCAGAGCGAGTGGAGCACATTTTCCTACACATGCTATGTACGCTGGTGGCTATGTTCATTGTCACGAAGTAATTGTGTACTTAAGCCTGGATGGACGGCTGCCGAACGGTAATGAGCTCGAAACTTGGGCTTTAATGACCATTGCTATTGTGACTCCAGAATCGGGTAACTTGATTTTCAGGCTGTCTGTTGCAGCAGTATGTTTCGTAGTGGAAAGACGGAGTAGACGAAGTTTTCCCCTGTTCTCCATTTTGGGAGCATCACCATATTAAGAACACTTATTGTGAGAAACATATATGTCTGTGTTTCATTTAGAAGTAAGAAAGTACTTGCAGATTACGAGAACTGTCAATCTGTCTACAGTCAGTGGTTGATGTAGGTCGATTTACTTGGATTTATCTTTTGGCAAGACTATTTTCTGTTGGTTGAATATGTACTAACATAAGGTCGAAGTGTTGATCTTAACACAGAGTTCCCGTTTTGTTTGTTCTGCTCACAGAGAGACTTCAAGTGCGCTTTCTGCATCTCCGGGTGGGACAGTGGCTGAAGCTACTCGCTCACGAACTCGCTCAGGCCAGGACAAAAGACGAATATCTTTTGCGCCAAAGTTGGCACACACGCCGGGTGGCCATATGTTTGGGTCTGGGAGCCCAAAAGAGGCGTATCCGATTACCCCTGCAAATGTATCTGGATCGATAGGTAGGCCTCTTTCCTAGATTCTTTTTTATACTCCTTCGCTTGTGATGTTAGGGGACATATATATACACCTCAAGCTTTTCGTTTCTCGAGAGCACCAATTTAACATGTGGTGCTTCTGCATAGCAAATACATAACACCATATAGCCTAATGATTTTACAAGAATTAATCGCTGGTCGGGGATCGTAGTTGACGTCACAAAATAGAAAAACTTACACGACCTGTAAATAGGCGCACTGACTTGATCGTAACTGTCATTGTTCTATTTTCATGTACTGGCTCTTAATCACACTGTAAAGCCTTCAATATCTACGTTTCTCAATCCTAAACCAGAGCGTAATACCCCCATTCATCGTTCACCGCTTTTATCTGCTATTCTTTTCTTCCCAGTTGCTGTCGCTCGAGTTCGTCGTCGCCACAACAATCTCGTGGAAACTCTTAGCCCGTTGGGACTTCGACCGGTTTCCCGATCAACGAAATCCACCCCACGTTCCAAATAAACTGCACTTCCGTTCTTGTCTTGTAGAATGTTCACTTGTGCTCCGTCAATGTTTACGTTTACTGTGTGTCTGTTTTCCGCGGCTGGTTCCAGATTGCTGGAATTACTTCCATTTTGATTACGCTATACGTTTTTGCAACCTATGACTACCACCGATTAACTTTACCTCAGATTTCGCACTGTTTTTGTCGCTCATAAACATCTCCCTCTATTTGTCAAGTGTTTCGAGTTTCTCGCTTCTGTAATCATCATCATCATCATTGTCAGCTATAATGACCGCGTGCTTGTCGTACAGTGGTTGTAGCTGCCACAGTTTCGTTCACTGATGATTCAGGAAGATGGGGTAGGTAGCTGCGCATTGGAGGTGGGAGGTGATAAATTAGTGCGTAAATACAACACTTTCAAGTGGGGGGGGGTTGGGTTGGAAAAGGAGCTATGCATTGAAGGGAATAGCTTGGAATGCATGAGCGCCATCGAGGGCGCAACAGAGCCAGCAGCTGAGTTTGCTGGTACTGGCTTTCATACAACGCTGCCAAGTCATTGTTTGATCGCCTCTGTCTCTCACCCTTCACGTGGTTGTGCGAAAAGAGCCCTTCGAAGAAGTTGGTCGACTGGCATACGTAGCACGTGGCCAAGCCAGCGCAACCTGTGCAGTGTGATCAGTTCATCTATCGAGGGTGAGTTATTTTTCCCGAATACCATTCGACGAACTTCAGTATTGCTAATCCGGTGTTCCCACCAGATTCAGGCAATGCTCCGAAGACATCGATGGCCAAACTCCGAGAGTCTTTTGACGTCCTCGGCACTCAGCGACCAGGTTTCTGATCCTTATAATAGTATGGATTGCACCGCAGCATTGTAAACTCGACCCTTGACAGAGAAGCCGATGTCACGCCTACGCCACAGGTGACGCAGGTTCACAAAAGCTGCTCTGGCCTTCCCGATCCGGATGAAAATATCTTTCGTGAGAGTACCGGGACTAATACAGCTGCGAAGCGCTGGAAGCGTACTTTCAGGGCCAGATATACAGAACACCAATGCTTCCACCATGTTATTTCGACGTATATGTCACTGATTCCAACGGAGTTCTTGTTTTTTGTGCCCGTTCATTCTCGATTGTTCATCTGCTGAGAGTGACAAATGCTCCAGCGCGGGTGAACTATTCCTAATAATCACAAGTGCACGAAATTCACGTAAACTGTGTTGAACAAACCGTTTTAGCTATAAGATATCCCACATGCCCACCGATGTTTTGGCAAGGCCATCTGCAGTCTATCGTTACAGGCACTTGAGCGTATTATCACTATACAGAAAGAGTTAAGTACTTCATCCATGTTATTACCCATGCCTATTATCTCTGACATGTCCTCGTAAATGTTATTTTTATGACAATAAGTGTAATGGTTTCCAACCGGTCTATGATATACTTACTAGATTAAGTGGGTAGATATTGATGGTGATCTTTACTTCTGGTTAACTCCTCGGAATTTACTGTCGGTCAAATCAGTTGGGATGAGTTTCACAGGTAAGCTCCGTACCAACAAGTTTCCAGAGTCTTCTCGTGACCTCCTAACGCTTATCTAGTTCACCTGTAAACAACTATTGATGAGTTATAGACGGTTGGTGGATTTGTAGAATTCACGTTCACATCACTCATTTGAACAGTCTTCTGTACTGGCGCAATTATTCTTGTGAGTTCACACCAGAATCATTGCGCTAGGACAGGGGGTAAACTGCTTAAAAGCATGAGTTAATAATGGGTTTGATTTAATCTGTTCACGTGACTTGCCCAAAACACAAGAATGTGCCTTTCGCATTCATCTCATCTTTGAAACTGGGATGCTGGGGCTTAAACACATTGGTAGCAAAAGACCTACCATTAAACAGGGCAGACCGCGGCACTGAGGTGGCTGGGCCCTTGAAATGGTGAGTGTACACACCTCACTTTTTAGTGAAGGGCCTGGAGGCTGAGGTTTCTTCAGTGCTCAGTAAAAAAAGTGAAAAACAAGGTGCTCGTTTCTGAACTCTTTTTGGCAAAAGATATCGTGCAGATTGAATGAACGGCCATTCGTAAGCACTGTGAATACTTTATTGTTTTTATACATGTGCCATGGGCTACCAAACGTTTTAGCTTTGCTGGTTTGGTTCTCAGTCTACAGACGTGAATTTATGATGTATGGCACTCAACTAAAAACAGGCATCAACAGACATTAGGACCAACCGAAACTATCATACCCTCAAGAAGAAAGAACTTCGGAACACCCAAGCTCGAGACTGTACAAGAAGCCAGAGAAGAAACCAAGAGAGGACACAGGAGATACGAAACCGTGGATAAAATCAAGGCCACTGGAACGCACAGCCGAGCCGAGGATGAATCAGCAAGGCAAAAGACGCAGCTTAACATCCAATGGGAACTGCATCAAAGATAAAGGTGTCGTACGAACCAGTCGGGAGCCACAGCACAACACAAATGGCGACATGACCAATCAGATAAAAGCCAATGTACTACTAAAAATGAAGATGCTTGATCAATCGATCAAATAAAAGAATGGCTAGCTGGATCCCAACATGGACCGATCGAAATAAATAAACACAACCACTGAGGTGAAAGTATTTAACGAAGCAACCGGAGGAAAGATAATCTGACCACAAAGCAACCCTAAACCCGAAAGGATGAATCAAACTACGTGCCAGCCAATCTCCAAACGACCAAACACGTTGCATTTATTGGTCATTATTCGGTCAACATAGAAACGCAAACAGAGGTGGAATATTTACCCACTCAACCGCACACCAAGAATGTCCACTTGCACGGCGATGACACATAAGCCAGTTGCCATGATCGTCGAAATAACTAACTGCCAGAGTACCCTTGACTTGTCTTATTCTATTAGTAGTGTAGTTTATCACAGTTTGCCTTCGTGATGTTTTCACATTTTATTTTTGTCAAAAACATATCCCATCGGGTTCAACACTTATGTGTCAACTCCCGTTCCTCTGACATCTGTAAACGGAAAATACCATAAAAAGCCCCGTGACGCATTACCCACAGGTATAACCGCCATCCAGCTTACTTGTTCTTTAACGGCTATGTGGCTGACCAAATCAAAGAAAGCACGGCGATGACACATAAGCCAGTTGCCATGATCGTCGAAATAACTAACTGCCAGAGTACCCTTGACTTGTCTTATTCTATTAGTAGTGTAGTTTATCACAGTTTGCCTTCGTGATGTTTTCACATTTTATTTTTGTCAAAAACATATCCCATCGGGTTCAACACTTGTGTCAACTCCCGTTCCTCTGACATCTGTAAACGGAAAATACCATAAAAAGCCCCGTGACGCATTACCCACAGGTATAACCGCCATCCAGCTTACTTGTTCTTTAACGGCTATGTGGCTGACCAAATCAAAGAAAACAAGGGAGGGGGGGGGGGGGGGGAGATCAAAATACCTTTAAAAATGCTGTGTCAACTATTAAAAGTTCTTGTGGATATGCGTCTAGGCACCCAAGATTACTCAACTCACTTTCCTTGTTCATATGAAACGACAAGGCGTAAATGCAATTAATGTTTTTATTGCAATTTTCAAGTAAACAAGCAGGGGATTTTTTTGGTTAAGGACTTTTGAATGGTCCACATACATATTGCGTTGAGCTTGCAGTATGCTCGGTGACAAGTCTGTTACCCAGTACGACATAATCATATTCTTTCGGCGGATATTACTGCCTCTATAAGTAATGGAAGTACCAATATATTTTCCACCGGACTGTCACCAAGTTCGTCAGCGAGATAGCTCAGCGGTCAGAGAGCAGATTCACTGACCGGAAGGTCCGTGGTTTGAACTCGGCCTCAGCTTCTCGATTTCCCCTGTTTAGGCTTGGACAACCTGGTAGTATCACAGCTCTCGTGCTTCTTTTGGGTGGTATGGCAGCTAGGCATCGAAAGGGTGTTACAGATGAACGATTATCTTCATCTTTCTGAATGTCCTCCACCATTTCGAATTCCTCGTAGTAAGCGATGACGTCAGTTTAAGATCTGAGTGTGCTGCCAGAAGTTCTATCTTATCACTTGTAACACATTCAACAAACGCCTTTTGTGGATCCTGCTGTACTTCGTGTGCTTCCTCAGTACGGATGGCTCCACACACAGAAGACCCACAGCACTCAATACAGGACCCTATCAACCTTCGTAGCATACTAACCAAGCCGTTTTGACCCAAAAACTATCGCAAAGAATAAGAGAAACAACTTACGTTCGGCATATATTCGCTTGAGCGATTGTGTCTTCGGTATTGCATAGCACTCCAAGCCTCAGGTTTTCTCTGTAAGCGATTATAAAGTATCTGGCAACTTTTTCATAAAGGAAACTACTCACAAGGTTGCTGAAAACTCTTCGACAGCCCACGACCGGTTTCACCCTTCTTGGGGCTCATCAGGTAGGCGCAGTCCCCGAGTTTCCGTCAACCTTATGATGTATTTCTCGAAAACAGTGCAATTTGGGTTCAAGTGGATCATAAGGTTGACGGAAACTCGGGGACTGCGCCTACCTGATGAGCCCCAAGAAGGGCGAACCCGGTCGTGGGCTGTCGAAGAGTTTTCAGCAACCTTGTAGTTTCCTTTATGAAAATATACTCCGATATCTCGAATATCGTCCCAAATGAATCATGAGGCGGCCTGTGTGCAGCACATTCAGCTGGAGGACATCATAAACGAGAGATTCGATCGAGTCTCCCGTGAAAACCAAATTGATTTGCAAATGAGTGTATTTCTCGAATATCTGGCAACTTCTTTATCAAACGACCGGGGTTTTGTTAGCACCGCTTAATCGAGGACATATCAGCTTGACATTGTCAAATTCAACTAACTGAATGAGTAGAAGAAATAACCTTCTTTCGACAGACATTCGGTTTGCTTTTCAGTGCAAACCATTATAGTGTAATCCGTGCTCCGTCTTAGAATCCTTGAAGCAATGCAGTTCCTGGCTCTTCCGGTGGCTGATGGCGAAGATTTTCTCCAATAGAATTATAGCATAGTGACAGTGACACCTCATTTTACGTGCATTACTTCTCAACACAAATTTTACTTTCTGCTACCCGATTAAATGGACTTTTCCCCACATTCTATATACCATAAGGTCGGCGATCCCGGCAAACCAGTTGGGGTAGTTTCTTTCAAGAGTTTACGATTTCTGTGGATATTTCAGTCGATTCTGTCCATAGCGTTTGATTACAGATTTTAGTGGGAGGTTGGAATCTGACAATTGGTCAATGCTGTCTAAGTGGCGTGTTACATTTTAAAGGCCAACTCGTTCACCTTCTGAAGAAGTCTTCCAAAAACGACTATGCTTCGTGGACGTGCACGGCTCACATCTTATTGATCACTTAACTGAAGCCTGCGTACTTGCTCCCACGTATTGCCATCGTGCTTTCTTGCTTCCGGGTCCGCGATTTGGTTCTCCAGCTCGCACATTATAGGTTTGACATCTACTGGTTCACAGTTGTTCGGCAGTATCTCTTGTTAGTGTATCGATTATTCTCATGCGAACAACTTTGTATTTGCCACCAGAAGAGCCAAAAGGTATGGTTTTATTCGATACAGTTGTACTGTATGCACAATCTATGAGCGACCGAGATGAGATGATTTTTTCGAATCAGATTGTTCGTGGTTCGCCACCTCAAATAATGGTTCAGTATTTTATGCATTAATTTCCCGAAAAATTTACCTTAGTAATGAAACCAGCCTCCAGGGTATGTATCCATCTACATTCTATTTCTAAACTTTCAGCTACAACGCAAGCCTTCCGTCTGCATATCTCCTGATATAATGAGAATTCCAAATACAAACAATTTCAATGCTCCGATTTATTTTTTGAGGGATTATTTCTCAGAATGCTCGCGAGAAATACTTGACCAGGTGGTTCTAGCAGAGCAAAGCACGCGAATCTTCATTCTTATTGATTTTTGTTTCAAGGTCACTAAGCATTAATCTCATGCTTGCACCACCAGATTGACCATCGCATTGCTTTCTGTTGCCAGTACCCATTGACCACAACCAGACATGTTCACCAATCTCATAATGGGCCAATTGCCACGTTTTCAAAGACAGCTTATGCCGGCTTACGTGGCACTCAGTGATTTTTCTTCAAATTTTGAAATCTGTCGTGATAATGAAGCAGTCCATATTCATCCCCATGTTATGAACACCCAAACACCTACTGAAATCATCGCTGTCACAGGTTTTGTTCAGACAGCACCACTGAAAACTCCACGCTTGAAACCGTATCTTCATAGCATCTGTTGACTAAGGTGAGACGTATAGAGTTCGGAATTGTAGCGAAGAGTCAACAGACGGGGGCAAGGTAGGACAAACGGTGTTCGGTGGTCTGATTGTATGTTCCTCGGCTCTGATGCCAACCCTCCGTGAAGCTAGTCGTCTAAACTACGAATTATACAGACAATTGGGGTTGCAGCTCAGTAACCCCCCTCACATGTTGTGTGCCCATGGATTACCTGCAGAAGCTTTGACAGCAACCGCCTTCCACTGCTGAGTCTCGGAGTCGGTTATTACCTTCGACAGTTATTCGCCCAGGATTGGATGCACGAATAGTTCAGCGTACAGCAATTGTTACGCTTACCACATTTATCCGATAACTTGCGGTGTTCCAACAGGGAGTACACTGATTAGGACAAATAAGTTTTGTTGAAACTTGAGGGAACGCCAGTGCGGATACTTTCAAGATGAAATGTCACAAAAGAACCTAGTGGCACACTTGTTCGAGCAGAAAGGGGCTGTTGTGCTCAGTTGTGTTTTTGCTTTTCTGGTCAGATTTTCACAGTCCCAACTAAAATGGTTAAACATACAGGTTTACCAACACATGATGTTCGTAAAGCCGGCAGAAACGGGTTTTTCGAAATATGTTTCCCCAGCAGCTCTTGAATTCCTTGTAAAGAAGTTAAATTTCGTCGTTAGCTAGCTGGCGGGGACTGAGTAATTACGTGGTCCTTCAGTAGAAATGACATTGTATTCAATCAGTCATGACAAATTAACTTAACTCTCTTAGTGTCAAGGACACCGTAAATAAGGCAAAGTAAATTTTCACTTAGTATGGAAGTCCACTCTCCGTTCAGGGAAAGATCGATTTCTGCGTTCCACAAATGGGAACTGACCGATTATGAATAAATTGTTTCACTCTGTACTTCCCGGTTGTTGCTTCGTGAGCAATTGTGGTATCTTCTTCCTGGAATTCTGTTGCTTGCTTCAGTCTCATCCACATTTGCGCTATTCAATTGGAACCGGATATGCTCGACGATTTTCATTTAGAAGAGTTTCACGGTAAAAGGGGAATACCAAGAGAGTGTGATGAAAAAGACGAGAGTGTACAAGTGTGTTTAACTGTTATTGTTTTGCTGATGAGTCGGAAAATGTGGTCCACGCAGTTAGCACCGTTTGTAAAGGACAATTTCGACAAGTATAAAAGGGTTGGGAAATGTTCTTCGTAAAGAGGATCAACAATACAAAATAATTCTGTTTTGTGATTACTGCTTGCCTGCTTTTCCTTACAACTGAGGACCATTGCCCTGCCAGACGAGGCGTCCATACATGCACAGTCTTGTTCCTTTTGGCCTTCAGTTTACCAAGAACACTTTGGACGGCGATGCCATTTTTCGGGTTCCACCATAAATACCTGTGAATGAGGGACGGCAACTCCGTTCATATGCTTCATCTGGACGTAGCCAATGATGGAGTCAACTTGCCCCACTAGCAAAAAGACGCAGCAATTGGAGTGCTGTGCTTCCCACGGCTGAATTAACACTATTGGAATCCATCTAGTTTTGTTTATCTGCTTGTCGCCATTGCATGGCAGTTGAAATCGTTACATCCTAGATAACCCACCCTTGCTCAGTGTTTGTGTGTACGGGGGAAAACTTCAGCACAAAATAATGGACAGGGTGGATAGATGAATCAAATAAACAATGAAGGTTAGTCAACTTCACCAGTTTATCACAAATTGGTTTTGGTTCGACTCTCTGGACAGTTCATTTAGGGCTTTACATTACACACCTGTCCATTGTGAACAAGTGCGTTTGTTTTTTTTTACAGCTTCGCGCTGTACGACAACTGGGCGGTGTTGTTCCGTAAATTTGCCGTAGCACGATACATTTAGTTGTGCAACTAATGTTGGCGCAAAAAAGGACAGGTACTCAGAACAGTAGTGGCTTGAAAAGTAGGTGATTACCAATCGTTGCCATAAACGGCACAGCCTTAAAATAGATCAAGCAAAATTCAGTGCGGATGGTACACATACTAAGTAACCGCGGAACGGCCAGTGTCACGAACTATTGCTTAATAACAGAACTCAGTAGAAAGCAATAGTTCAGTTGCCGTCACTCAGTACAGTGCCTTGATACAGATGAATGAACTAAACTGTGTTGAACATTCTAAATTTTTGTATGATATGAAAGCTACACTCAGTCTTTGAGTCTCAGAGGACTTAGTATTCAAGGAGTTTGCTGAGCACAACTCATAACTAACAAAGACCTTTTCAGTAGTGACCTATTGAGCCAATCACAATTGTATTTGCGTCAAAGCAACAACTCAGAATTGCAAATATCAGGTGCACTCTTTTCACAGGCTTTCTCAGCTGATCAGTGCTAACTCACGAACACGGGTAGAGTTGTGATGCGAAAGTGCCACAGATAGCTATTTCGAAAGGCCAAACAATTGTATCGCGGGCGTTCCGTCACTGACCGTTCCGCGGGGTGGTGCTCGTCCACGTCGTTTAGAGGGCTACATTCAGGATTTGAGCTCGATGATTAGAAAAAAATAAGGATTAAGGTTAACTTCGCTTCTCTCACTTTGTGGGACCTTTAAGGTGTATTTGATAGGAGGAAACCGTCACAGACAACTGGGTGGAATCTGTGATAGTACCCATTTTAAAAATGGATTCATTGTGAGAGTGGTAACTACAGGGGAATCAGCTCGACCCCATAGTCACTTGTGCTTCTTCGCTCGCGAAACACTGACTCGAGGGCAGCAAACGGGATTTCAGTCTGGTAGGGATTGCGTTGATTGAACCTTCACACTTTGCCAGGTGCTAGAACGTCGTACGTACAAACGACCCACAATTTTAGTATTCTTGGATTTCCAAGACGCATTCGACTCGGTTAACCGGTATGTTTTTCCTTGAGGAGTTTGTCCTTCAAGGAATGTTCCGGAAGTTTATGGACATAATAATAAGTTCTTTGTATTCTCTGACTTTTGAGCGTGTGAAAGTATACAGAAAAACTGTCCAAAAGCTTGCGTACACAAAGTGGTGTCCGTCTGGGTTGCTCATTCTTTCCTTTCCTAATGGATTTCCTGGTCGATGAGAATGAAAGTTCTTCAAAACTCTGTTCAAATATCCACTAGCGAAAATTTTGTCGATCCTGAATATTTAGACGCCATCGTTCTCATCTTCGAAGAGAAGACGCAGGTGTTTTTGAATGAACTGACCAAAGTCATCCCGTCTTTTGGTATACACTTTGTACACAAAACATGTAAGGTCATGCTCCTGGATATGCAGTCACTAAGTCACATATGAGGTCAATGGACGAATCTACAAGGCTCGGGTTGCGCTTGATAATTTGAGACACATGTGGTGTCAAAGCGGTATATCCCTGAATTTCAAGGGACGTGTTTATCAGGCTACAGCACGGACTGTTTTGTTGTATGGCTGTGAGACTCAGCCTGTTCAAGCAGCGAGAACGAGCCGTATTCAGGTGTTCGACAATTGTTGTCTCAAAGCCATAGCTGGTGTGGATGGGTGCCAGCGAATCTGTAGTGACGTACTAAGAAAGCGATTTTTCGGCTGCGCATCGGGGACTTCCATTGAAGAATGTGGCCAGCACCGGAGTCTGCGTTGGTCAGGCGTGTGTCGAGCACACTGATCCCTTGTTTGTTAAAGAGAGTGCTGTTTTCCGTGCCCAATTCAGAGTAGCGGAATGAGAGAGGTGACCAACCCTTGACCTAGCAGAGGGTTATACAAGAGATCATGAAACGTGCGGGTGTTGTCGGTGCTACTTGCCTTCCAGGATGGGGACCGCGGGATCGTTACTGCACCTGGTCGGAGACGGTGCAAGACATGATTGCCCATCGATGTAAGTAGCGTTCTTTTTGTTGTTTCCTATGCAGATTACCCAAATGAATATCAAGAGGTGTAAATACGTCGGATTGATTGTGGTAGGCTAGCACTAGGTCCCTTTCTATCGGTTCGTCCTTTCCTTAACAAGACAACTTTTGTTTTGCAAAACATCTGGTTTGAACACTGACGCCACGCTGTCGATGTGCGCTAATGATGTCTTCTCGTATGGTGACGAAACGTCTGCAAATCAGTTGCCAACGTCGGTGAATAGATCAACAGCCACCTGATCAGAAACCAGTAAACTCACACGAGCTAACAGTAGTACAACACATCTATGAAAGTCTGTTACACGCCCAAAGGTTGATCTCACCTATCCGTACTAGTTGAAGGTGGGTACAAATCTGACAACGTGCGCAGACAATCCTGCTTCTAAGGTAGCTGCCGTTTGGCCATCTGTTTTCCGGTAGACTGACAATGATTCTTCCTGGATTAGGGAAACGAGAGTCAAGCTAATTTGATACATCAGTTTAGTAAAGTATTCTGACTTCACGCTGAAACCTGAAATTTTCTCATAGCTTGCAGTGAAAGAAAGGTGTAGGGGAATTTAGCTCCCAAAGAGGCTTTAAAAGTTTTCCATCAAACCATAAAACTAAAATTCTCAAGCTTTGTTGATCGTTGTCAGAGCAAGTCTTTCACGATAGGTTACTTCATCATCCTGGAAGTCAACCACCAATAGGAAGTCGAAATGAATGTCTTTTCAGTTGTTCACCTGTTTGTGAGGCTGAGTAAGGGTTTGTTCCCGAGAGACAACATTTCAGCAGACAACAAGTATTAGCTGATAACGTAACGCACAAATGGTACACGTTTGACTGATTTGATAGAGTGAGCATTAACCAATGTCCATGATCTCAGCACAGAAAGAGCATGTAGCCACACAGCCTGCATAATTAGTCCAACGATAATTGTCGATGTAAAGACGACGTTAATTTAGTCCAAATTTTTTTAAGTGGGAATCAGTAGTTGGCCATCCAAAAACGTTCATTTTGTTTCGGAAGGGCTTGGTAAACAATCGACATTCTTCTTCATTTGGGCAACTTTTCTTTTTTGACACAAAAGCTTCATCAGGCCAAGCGAGCAGGTCACCAAGTTAGCCAGCCGATCCCATTGGCATTCTATCATATGAGAAATGAAAATATCTCGGTCTTACTCAAATTTCGTTTTATTTCGAGCAATTGCCCGAGGTATAAGCTTTATCAAAATAAATACGCATCGATTCATTAGCCGGAATAACAACCCAGTTCCAGTACGAGTTTGACGCGGAAGCTGGTTGTTTTCTAGAAGTTTACCATTGTTGAAGGACATTTCAGAACGATTTTGACTTTTTATCAGTGAACATACGTCACCTTCGTCAATCTCCTCGAGCAGCTGACAAGGTCATATCTCCTGTACAGGAGGAAGCACCGTGTATCTGTTCCTGTGGACAGTACCTTGGCGTACATCTTGATCACCGATGTATTAAAATTTCCCCGGAATGAACGTTGGTCTCCTCAGCATATTCTTATTGCTTCTCTGCATCACTTAAGCGAATGAATGCAACTTTCTCTATGCCTGCCAATAGGTTGTTTCAAATTAAAAACGTGTACCCCATCGTACAGTTAGAGAAGCCGGTTGATTCTCTGAAAATGTGTGCGTGAACTCCTTTGATTACTATACCAAAGTATGGTTAAATGGTCGAAGAACAGTGCTGTACTAAGTGAACCAAAAGTTGACTGAACCCACTGCTGCTTACAAGCAATACTTAGCACTATTCTACCAAGCACTGTATGTAAAGTTGGCATATTGTACTAGCAATAAAAGTTGGTTTCGGCACTGAGCTCCAGTTTTCGATCGAATCTAGTGGCCTGTAAAGAGCCTCTAGAGAATCGTCGGACACACAAGTGGCTTGATTTTTTAATGAATTAATCAGATAAACAAAAACACAAAAACCTTCATTTCGCATTAATTAAATTTCAACTAGTATTGAGTGTAAATTAAAAGGAATCGCCGCACATGATCCGGTAGGATTATTGATAATCATCGATGGTTTAACACGCCACTCCCACGAGAAAGCAGGGTGGATGGATTCGACAGAACAGTTATTTTAATCCTTCATCCGCTAGAAAGTCATCCAAATGTGCAGCCGTTGACTTTCTTTTACATATTTGCAAATACTTTTTAAAAGTTTTCTTTATAGCGTAATCCGTAGATCAGTATCTATCGGCCATTGCCCAACGGGCTGATTAATAGAAAACGAGGAGATGCGTCCACGTTACAAGTGGGCCTTGTACCAAATCCGTTGACTGTTGGGTCATTACTGCTTAGGGCCTAAGAGCAACAGCTATTTTTTATCTTCATCAGTGAGCCGTGAAGCTTGGGAATTTTTCAGACCACTTCTTTTGGTGACTAACTACACACACTGTCTGTGAAGGAGTTACCAGATCATGCGGAGGACCTGACTCTTAAACACCAGAGTTATTGAACCAACCTGGATCTGACGTCAACCAGATTTGACGAGAAATGTACCATCGTCTGTTATCGAGATGAGGTTGGACAATCTATGAAAGTAGGTAATAAACCTCGAACGCGGTTTGTCTGGGTGCTGAATCTGAATAGACCACAGATGAGCTCTTTTTGAGTGGATATAATACATAATTGGCACTGATTACTCTTCGAAACCGACCAACAATAATCCAGTCCAAGTTCTGGTTTCCACTGAAATTTTTCTGTTACCGCTTTCGGTAAGACCCCTTCAAAGCGTTTCAGCCCACATTTACCGTCATTTTCATGTTGACTTCTTATGTTTGAGCTCAAAATAGTTCACTTATTGAGTCGCAAAATTACTGACCGCAAGATCTACGGTTCGAACATAATCTCGAATCTCAACTGCTCCTACCTAGGCTTAGACAACCTTGCAGTATCTCAGAACTCGTTCTTCCATCGGGTGGCATAACAGCCAGGCACCAAAAGGACGCTGTAGCTGAATGTTTGTTATTATTGGTACTTTTGGTTGGTCCCATCAAAATCCTTGTAAGTGCAACTGGAAAGTTTTCCGTAACTATGACGCGAATATCTGAATCAGTTTTATCTCCACGGTAAGGCATACATTCTTCCCCATCTGACATTTGGAAATTACAGCATGATTCATGTTATTACAGAGTCAGGTTCTGACATCCTTCAGTAGTCGACGTCGGAAAATTTCACTCTATGCCTATGATGAAAGAGCCAGGGCAGCATGCTAAAATGCAACTTTTGTTCAGTCTTCATATTCTGAAGATATTACAGATCAATGGGGCTTTCGAATCAACGAACCTGGGCCTGGTAAAATTACTGCTCTTAGTAATTCAAGCACAAAATCATCTCGATGTGCACCTGCCTAACTTTCAGTCGAATTTACGCCAAACAATCTGAATAACTCAAACGCTTTTGTTTGTAGTTTATTTGCTCCGAAATTTTTTGCTAGCTGAAAAGGAGTTTGGTCACAGAGGTCGCCTGCGTATCGACCAGTGTGTTACGTTACTTTCCACGCACTCAGTTGATAAGAGACATTAGCACGTTTTAACAGCAAAACAATTTAGATCAGATTACAGTTTTTGGTCTGGCGCATGGTTCACACTGGAATGATATGGCGGTCCACATGTTGAAAAGACTGGTTTGATTTTCGTCGTTCCTAAATATTTCGCCACGTTCCTGTACATTAGAAGAGAAAAGTAAACCCGAACGAACTGGGTTTCGCTAGTAGATAAAAGTGGTTATTACAACTTCTGCATGGCCAACTTGATTTCCTTTTATAAGCATTTGTATACGAGACTCACCGAAAAATCTATGTTTTGGTGTTACATGGAATCCTGTGTTAACCTTTTTGGTGTGGCTGTCCATGCTATACCTGCCCTGTGTGTCCCAGTAACTACCGTCACCATCTTTCAGTGAGGGTATCCGGGTATCAACCCGTAGACGGGCCAGACAACAATGGACGTGTGTCGCTTCTCAAGCACGTGATTGACTATTATCGGTATCGACTGCCTCGTACTTATACATGGTCAAGTCTAATCAAATTGGAGACTGCACAGAAATATCCGGACATAGATTGAAGGCCGTAAACACCGCAAAGACTGAAGCAGCGAATGTAAAAAGAATCATGAAAAGGGAAGCAAACGAGACCTTTTAAGACAGATTATGAACAACTTAAGAATGCTTCTGCTTCGAACCTCA